CACACACTCCAGTGCAGCCTCCATTCCCTGCCAGGCTGTCTCCTCTTGCAGGTTCTGACCATAGCCCAGCGGAGCACTCAGTGGGCCCTCGGATGGGTTCGGGACCCTCCTTACCTGGGTTTCTCCTGCTAGAACTGCACCCAGTTCCAGGCACCAGAGGCTGTGCTACCCATCAGCACCATCTGGAAATTCTCTCTGTTGAAACTGGGGCCATCAGGGAGTTCCCCTCTGGGCCTGCTTCCCACCCCTCAGGTGTGTCCCTCATCCACCACCAACTTCTCAGCTCTTGAAGCCCCAGTTCATAAACTACCCTACATGGCGGTTAGTTCTGGTAGGCAGTTAACTGGTTTCTCTAGTGTGGACAGGAGTCTCATCTGGCCTTTATACCTGTGTTGCTATCCTGTTTCTGAGGCGTGAAAATCCATTTAATATTTGAACCTATGTTGGATTAAATTAGTTTAAAAATTAACTTACGGAGGGAACAAGTGTGGAAGACTGAAGTAGAGCCGAAGTGCTAAGTGCTTCCAGCCGGGCCTTCCTCTTCCTCGGCTCCACGCTGCCGAGGGTCCGGAAGCTCTCTCTACTGAAATGTGGATTTTATCCTATGGACTCTCTCCCGTGGATCTTGACAAGCTTTCCAGTTTCGTATCTTTTAGGCAGATTTACCTCAGCATTCACAATGGCTTCGTCTATGTACGATTCTTAACTTTTCCTCTAAGGGGTAGTAATTGCCTCCCTGTTTTCCTGTTAACTAATGAGTTAAGCAGCGTCTTCCATAGGTGTTCATTTTACAGAATCGGTGGGAGCATCATGGGACTTGCCCACCGGATATTACCCCTTTGTGTGGAGGACTTTCAGGGCGAGCTGAACATCTTCTTTATTGACAAGGTTGAGTGTATGTGTTTGGGACCTAGGGAGATTGGGATAAAGCTGTTTTATTTATGAGAATATAAAATAGAGTAGCAGATGGGATAATGTGAAATAAGCAATAAGAACAGAAATAGGAGGCAAGCAGACCCTGGTAAGAGCTGCACCAGGGCACCAGGCATGGCCTTTCTCAGAAGGTTCTGGAGTGCACATTGGGAGCCATAGAGTCTCTCTCATGAACAGAGCCTCATTCCAGTGAGGGGTATCAGGTTTGGGGACACAGCTGCAGAGTCAGGCTGCAAAACAGAATTTCTCAACCTTTTAAATCTGGGCCATCATTTCTGCAGAAGTCTTGTATTTCCTAGGTGATTTGGGTGCATACCTGTAATTGGAATTTCCCGATTATCTGCCAATCCTCCAGCCTGGGAAATGGTATTAGAGTTGTATTTGTAGATGGCTGAGTGTCATCGGCAGGTGGACATGGTATCCACCTGTTCTGGATGTAACCCTTTTCAGACATGCAGGAGGTTGCACTGCAGTTTATAACCCAGGAAGGTTTTCTGGCTCAAGGACAAAATTCATAGTGTTGGAAACAAGAACAACTCAGATGATGGATTTAGGAACCAGTCTGTTCCTCTTACTGTAATAAAGACCATCCATCTTCATGAGGCCCAGATCCAGCCTTGTGGGATCCCAGTCTCATTGGAATTCAGGGGCAGGAGAATGATGGTGGACTCTCAGGAAAGACTGAGCAGACCAGCGTCAGAGCATCCGTTTGGGCTCCACTTCTTCTCTTTTTACATCACAGCACGGTAGCATCAGAACAGTTTGTGGAGCATCTCGGAACAGTTCTAGCCCAGTATCTAGGGGGAAATAATTTGTAGTGTCAACATTTCATGAGCAATTTAGGAACATCTAGGAGGAAAAACAATCCCAAGAGAGCCCTCACTGTAAACACTGACAGTCCTGTTGTGGGTGAGGTGGATCTGTTGGGCCAAGGTTGCAGGTGGATAGGAGCACCATGGTCCCCCACGGATCTGGCCCGGACCACATAAGAGGTGCATACAGATGGCGTGGGAGCACCACAGCACGGTCCCCTGCCCTCTGTGGGTCTGTCCCCAGCCACATAAGAGGTGCTTGAATGCAGAGCTCCAATGAAGCAGAAGTACGTCATCCCCCCTACCCCGGGACATGGTGGTGCCGTTCCTACAGCCAGTGTCGTGCATCCATGGAGTTTGGGGTTCTCGTGCTGCCATGGACAGAGCTGGGGTTAGAGATAGAGAAAAGGAGGAAGGGCATTTTCCACGTATTTGGTGCTATCCATATGGTTGGAGTAACAGGACACTTCAGAGAGGCAGTCCTACAGGTCTGGGAGTGGAGGGAGCACTTGATATGCTTCCATGGTTTCTTCTTTCCAGGCAGGCATCCCTGTGGGGTGCATGTCTGAACACCTCAACTATCCCCACTCACCAGCTCCTGCTGGTGGCTTGAAACGTCTGTGGAGCTTGCCTGGCCAGCATCACTGTGTCCTTGCATGATGCTGAGTCACACTGATGGGTGAGCTGCTCACAGAGTTGGACAGTAGGACTGGCAGGGGTCACACCCTGCATTGCGCTCCTGATTTTTCGTTGTCTTTAGCATTCGGCAGTCTTGATTATGAGGCGTAGGGCACTGGTTTGTGTTTGTTCTGCTTCTCTAATCTGTATGTTCACATGTTTTGCCAAATTTAAGACATTCCAGCTATTATTTCTGGAGTGTTCGCCAGCCCTCTGGGACTTCAGTGGCACGGAGGTGAGATCGGCTGCTCTGGTACCACAAGCTCCAAGATTCTGTTACTATTTGTTTACAGTGTATTTTCTTTCTGTTGTTAAATTGTATGATTTGTTGATTTTTTTTTCTTCAAATTATTTTTCCTGTTCTTTGATTGCTCTATCTTGCTATTGATCCCATTCATTGAAGTTTTAATTTCAGTTATTATTGTTTTTCTAAAATTTCCATTTAGTTCTTTCATGTCATCTGTTTCTTTGCCAAGATTTTGTAATTTTCATCTGTTTCAAGTAAGTGTTACTGTTTGTGAAAGCATTCTGATGGCTGCTTTGAAAACGCTTGTCAGTAATTCCTCTGCTGGGTCACTCAGTGTTGACGTCTGTTCATTTTCTTCTCAAGTTGAGAGTCTCCTGACCCTTGATCTGACAAAAACAGTTTTCCGCTGGGCCTGGACACCTGTGTGAGGCTATGAAGCTCTCAATCGTACGTGGGCCCACCCATCGCTGGGGTGCTGCGCTGCTCCAGACCCTCTGTCTGAGCCTGGCCCTCTGCCCAGGCGTCCTGGCCCTCTAACTTCACGGGTGAGACTATATGCTGGCTGACCTCTGCACAAGGAATATTCAGGCAGTGCTCAGACATTGTATTTTCTCCCCCTTCATGTGAGCAGCGATCAGGGGAGGGCCGCTTGCGTCCCATCTTGTTCACAGTGGCCAGGGGCCTGCACCTTGCAGGGACTTTCCGGAGCTCACGCTTCCTGCTAGATGGAAGATGACCAGGTTGTCAAGGACAAGCTCTCTGCTGGAGCCAATACCCATGTTTTAGAGCAACAGGGTCCCTGGGTATGAAGCTCAGAGGGGCTTGGATGCCCAACGGTGATGAAGAAAACCAGGGACAGCCCCTTTCCCCCTAGGGAGGTGCATAGCATGTTGGCACCTTCCATGTTTCTCTTCAGAATTAAGTGTGGGCCACGAAAGATGACTCACCTTCCTTCCTCTGGCATAACTGCACTCCCATTTGTTGAAAAACGCCTGCTCCCATCTGCCTGAGAATCTCGAAGCCTTTTTTGGAAACTTGTTGAGGGCCTTCCTCCAGACACTGATGGAGGAGCTTCACTCTTCCCAGCCCCAGAGCTGAGCCCTAGAGGAAACTTCTGAGGGCTGACCCCAGTCAGGGAGTTCCTCTTCTGAGCTGTGATCTTGGCCCCAGATCCGATTGAAGAATGTCTGCTCTCCCTCCAGACCACACATGCTCAGCTTGTTGCCTGCTGGCTGGGTCTGATTGCCTTGAAGATGATTTATCTCTGGCCTAGGAGGGCCAGGAGCTCAGAGGCAGACCAGGGCAATGTGAATATGACCAGGGAAACGTGGAGTCCAGCCACCCAGGATGGGGAAGAGCATCCCGGGGTCCTCCTGGGGCTCCGCTTGCTGTGGGCATTGTGGCCACCGCCAGGTTAGAATGGTGCAGGCCAGCGTGGGGTGCCTGATGTGCTGTCCTCGTGGGTGTGGCTCCCAGCAACGCTGGGCTGCAGTGGAGGGAGCAGCAAAGGCTCACAGCCAGGATGTTCATGGTCAGACAATGCAGTGGGAGCCATCTCGCCAGGGGAGAGGTGCCTGGCTCAACTGGGAAAGAGCTAGACCCCGGGCAAGAGCCAAACCACCTGGGAGTGACCCTCGTGTCCCCACAGGGTGAGGCCTGAGGCCTGGCTCCTGCCACAGTCCCTCAAGGAGCCACTATCCTGTCAAGTTGAAGGCTCTGCTGCAGTCAGCCTGAGCTGGCCAACAGGGAGGTCCAGGAGAGGATGAGGGCTTGACAACAAGATGGTTCATCCGTCTGTCACTTCCTCATTCCTACATCCCTTCACCTGACAGGCACTGCTGGGTGTAGCCCCTCAGGCACTGGACCCAAAGGGCCTGTCCACACTGTGCTCACAGGGGGATGATGGCAAACCAGTAGACATGCAGCTGGCCATGTGGTGATCAGGACTATGAGAAATAGATGAGAGGAATGGGGCTAGGGAGGATAGGGTGGAGTCTGGGGATGGACTGGTGATATTGCCATAAACCGTCCCAGAAGATCTCTCAAAGGAATCAGTTTGAGAGAGTCCTGACGGGGGGAGGGCACTGCGGTTGACTTGGATGAACAGCATTCACAAGGGTGGGTACATTTGATGCAAAGGCCCTGCGGTCAGCAGTGCCGGCTTGTGGCCAGTATGGGCAGAGGAGAAGTGGGCAGGAGTCGAGGTGGAATGCAGATGGCCACGCTTTGTGGCTGCGCTACCGCTCAGCACCAGCCTGCATCTCCAGCTGTGAGGAGGCCTCTTCCACATGAGGACCACCTCACGCAGCATCTCTATTTTCTTATTTCAGACTCACAAGCAGTACCTTGAAGCCACCAATGAGAGCAGCCGCTTCTTCCTGTACTGTGCCTTCTTGGACTTCAGGTACGGTGGGTGCCGGGGCCCCCGCAGGCACAACGGCGGCAGGAAGGATGGGGCTGTGTGCCAGATGGCATAGGTGTCCAGCCCAGGCCAGTCGCGCAGTCCAGAGTAGATCCAGGCCACTCGTGTAGCCAGCAGGGTTGCATGATCACAGGTGCTGAGTTTTGCAGCCAGTTGTGCAGATGCATTAGCATGAGCCTCAAGAAGCCCAGGGCAACCAGCTCGTGGGAGGGGAGCTGATGGTGGCAGCGGGGAGGGGGTTGAGGATGGAGCATGCTATGTGGCTGGGCAGAGGCCTGAGGCCTGGATGCCCCTGACCTGAGGAGCCTGAGCGTGTGGCTGGGAACGGGTGTGGGGAGCAGCCCTCTGCCGGGTGATGTCAGCATTTCAGGGTTTTATATTTAGAGTTGATGTCCAGAAGCATATCCAGGAATAGGAACAAGTTCTATTGTCAAAACCCCCACAAATACCTTGGAAAAAATAATGAGAACTAACGATGGAGCTTGTGAGAAGAAGCAAGTGGACAGTGGGGGCGGGGAAAGGTGCCCAGCAGGGCTGTTCATCACCGGTCCCCAGTGAGGACGCAGAGGGCAGTGTGTGGGCTCCCCGACCCCCAGTGAGGACACAGAGGGCAGTGTGCCCCAACCCTCCCCCCACCGCCGCAGACGCAAGGCCCTCTTCCTCCTCCAGTGTTTCCAGTTCCCTTATCAGGGTTTGGAGTTGTGTTGCTAGCAGCACAGATGCTTTGGTTGTCCAGCCTCCTATCTTCATGTAATACCCTCCTTGATCCTCGGCCTGTGTGTTGGTCTCATTTAAAGGCAGCTGCTTGGCTTTAGATTTGTGCTTGCATCTTTACGTCCTGTGAGTGGATATCTTCACCCACATTTTTGTCTGATCTGATTTGTGCATTTATACTTGAAGTGGGTTTTTTTTTTAGACTACATATGACTATGTTTTTTCTTGTTTTTTTTTTTAATCCTTTACTTTTTTTTTTTTCCACTACTGGAGTTGAACTCAAGGCCTTTTACCCAGGCTTGACAATTTGTTTTTAATTGGTGTGTTTAGGTAACTTGAATTTAATATGATTATTGATACAGTTGGATTAAAATGGACTCTTTTGTTAGATGTTTTCTGACTTTTCCATCTTTTCCTTGCTTCTTGTGTTTTGTTTACTTATTTTTTTCTCCATTTGATTTTGGGAGTATTTTTATGATGCTGTTTTACTTCACCAATGACTTCTAATCTATGCTTCCTTTTGAAGTTTTTGTAACAGTTACCTTAAGTTTGCTGTAGATTTGTTGAGTTCATCGTTGTCTGCCCTCAGTCAGTACTGTGTCATTTCATGGCTTTAGAAGTGTGACCGGCATTCCCACAGCTCCTGCTGCCCAGGCCTGGCTGACTCCTCAGTTGTGTCTTCTGGTGCCACGAAGGCTAGGTGACGTGTCCTAGGTGCCATAACTGTTAGCTGACGTGGCTTCTGCCTGCCCCCTTGACACGGTCATCTTGTAGAAAGTTGAACAAGACCACAGCAGTGACACCCACAGTGGGGCCCTGCAGGCTTCCTTCCCGAGGTCTCACCCGTGTCTGATGCAGAGCGACATTTCCCCGTGCTACTTTCCATTAGCCTTTCTTGTGCAAGTCTGTTGAAAATAAATTCAGCTCTTGGTTAAGAGAATGAGTCTCCTTTATTCTGAAAGGTATTTTCACTGTGCCACTTTATTTTTCTAAATTTATTCTCTAAGAAGTTATGTAACTAATACCTCAGTATATTATTCTTTTAGAAAGCAAAGCGCTATGATACTGGGGTTTCAATTCAGGGCCTGCCGCTTGCTAGGCAGTGTTCTGTCACTTCAGCATGCCTCTAGCCCTTTTTTTGTGTTATTTTTCTAGTAGAGTTTTTTCCCCACCTCCCCATCCCAGCTGACCTGAACTGCAGTCCTCCTATTTCTACTTCCCATGTACAAGGATGACAGACATACGTCACTATGACTAGCCTTTTATTGATTGAAATGAGGTCTTTAGAATTTTTTTTTACCTGGACTGACTTCCAACCACGATATTCCCAGTCTGAGCCTCCCAAGTAGCCAAGATTATGTGTGTGAATCACTACTGTAGGCTTAAAGTATTATTTTAATTTTATTTTGCTGGTACTGGGGTTTAAACTCAGGGCCTTAGCCGGGCGCTGGTGGCTCACGCCTGTAATCCTAGCTACTCAGGAGGCTGAGATCTGAGAATCGCGGTTCAAAGCCAGCCGGGGCAGGAGAGACCGTGAGACTCCTATCTCCAATAAACCACCAGAAAACCGGAAGTGGCGCTGTAGCTCAAGTGGTAGAGCGCTCGCCTTGAGCTGAAGAGCTGAGGGACAGCGCCCAGGCCCAGAGTTCAAGCCCCATGACCGACAAAAAAATAAATAAATAAATAAAATAAACTCAGGGCCTTGCCCTTGCACAACTTTCTGGCTCAACTGGTGCTCTACGGCTTGAGCCACTCTTCCAGCCCTGCTTTTTATAGACAGAGTCTTGTGGATTTTACTGCTTACACTGGCTTCAAACTATGATCCTCTAGGTATCAGATGGCACCACACCCATTCTGAAGTAGTATTAATGTTATTGTGCCAGTCCTGGGACTTGAACTCAGGGCCTGGTTGTTATTCCTGAACATTTTTGCTTAAGGCTAGCACTCTACCACTTAAGCCACAACTCTGCTTCTAGTTTTTTCAGGTAGTTAATTGGATACAAGAATCTCACAGACTTTTCCTACCCAGGTTGGCTTTGAACCATAATCCATAATACTCAGAGCCTCCTGAGTAGCTGGGATTACAAGTGTGAGACTCCAGTGCCCACATAAACTATTTTCCCCTTTGTGCTTTATTCTTGTCCTCCCCAGCAATGACCACTGAGAGTGTGTGTGCATGTGTGCATGCACGCACACACACATTTCTCAATAATTGACATATTGTCTATGTTCATAGGGAGTACTTGGTGTTATTTAGTTTAACATTCCTTTTATCATTCCACCCCATCTTAGTTTTGTGTTCTGCCCCTGTTGATAGCTGTGTCTTTTGTTGTATTTGCAAATTTTCTTCATGCAGTTGAGTGACCACTTCTTGTCTAGCTGCAGACTTCAGAGGTTGTGGGCTGTGCACATTTTTGAGGCTGGATTGTTCCCTCAGTGTCTGTGCAGCAGGAGCTGTCTTCTTGTGTCTACAACGGCTTTGGGAATGAAACTTCACCCCGTGAGGGGCCACCCTCGGCTCTGCACCCCTGCCGGTCGAGGCAGCATCACATCTTACGGTGTTCTTCCTCTGTGGCACTCACAGCGTCTGGCAGGATTTCTATATCTACCTCCTGACATGTCTACTTGTTCAGTGTCTGCTGATTCTCAGGTTACCTCTAATCACAGTTGCATTTGTGCGTGCAGCAGACAGACACAGGAGCTGTAGAAAGTAACAGTATATATGGTGATCCCTGTCTGGGTCCTGGGAAATTAGACGTAAGGGCGAGGTAGAGTGAGGCAGGGGCACCCACCATTGTCGGTCTCTTATCCTGAAGTTACTGATGGGGCCGGGCTCTGCTGAGCAGGTGGCTCAGTGGCTCTGGCCTTGCTCTGCAGAGCATTCCTGCCTGCCTCCCTCGAGTAACTCATCCATCTCTAGAACTGCTGCTCTCAGTCCTCTGACTCCCCTTGGAATGGCATTCTCACCTCCTTCAGATCCCACTGGGGAAGGGCTCCACATGGTGCTGGCCACATGCTGGGACGCTGGTGTGCTGCTAGTGTGTGTTCCTCAGCTGGGAGGTGCAGGACAGGCACGGCTTGTCCCGGTGGATGGACATGCACTATGGCATCCACAGTGGTGTTTCAGTTACAACTCAATATGAAGCAAAGACAAACCAGTCCTGTTTCTCATCTCTATCAACTCCTTTCCCTAAGGGCTCCTGCCTTTGCTTGAAGCAAAGGTTTGTCTTTGCTGATTGCTTAAAGCTGCAGCTCTGCGAAGAACCACTTCTGACACCTTTGGGGAACTTGAAAATACAAAGAAGTACAGACCATGATTTCAGAATTGTCCATCTTCTCGCTGCATTCATTAGCCACCTGCCATCCACATGCTTGTGGAGGTCATTTCTTGTCTAAGCGCCTGCTGTAAGCAACTATACTAGTCACGTGCCAGTTACAAGCAAGGCCATCATAAAGGAAGTGTCCCCTGCGTCCTTTACAGCTTAGCTTCCCTTTTCCCTCCCTAGGTGACCACGGTGGAGGGTCCCTCTGTGCGGTTGGTTCTGTACCCACAGGACACCCCCCAGGGCATGCACAGTGGGGCTGTTCTGTGCTCTGGCATCATGGTGTCTGCAGCAGTGCACCCTGGTTAGGGACGCAGTAGTTTCCCCCCTATTTTCCTCGTATAGCATTTTGCTTCTGTTTGGCCATATTTTTATATGCTGTATCTTGTTTTTATTGTGTTTCTATGGACCGCATCTCATTTATCTACCTTGCCATATTTCTGTACACTGCTTTCATTAGTCCACTCCTCTGATGGACACTTGCTGCTGTAGTGGTTTCTTGAATCACTCAGGATTTGCTGAGTTTCCTTGGCTCTGTGTGTGTGTGCGCGTGCACACGTGTGTATAGCCCAGCACCCCTGAGCTGGGCACCCACACATTTGTCACTTTGTCTCACGCTGGGCCTAGTCCAGGCGCTTTCCAGAGTGGCCGTGCAGGGCAGCTCGTCCCCCCATCCCAGCAGAAGCCGTCGTCCCCTCAACACCAGCAGCGTCCACTCTGCTGCTGGGCAGGCTCTAAGAATACCATGCTGCAGGTCTGGGCTGCCGCTCCCCAGCAGGGGAGACAGGTAGCCATGAGTGTGTGGCCTGGTGGGGCCAGGGCTGTGGCTCTCTCTGGCCCTGGCCAAGGTTTGGCACTGCCCCACTGATCATGCCTGCTGTATCCTCAGCTCCGGGGAAGGCATCTGGTCGAGCCAGGGCTGTGCGCTCACAGAAGGAAACCTCAGCCACTCCGTCTGCCACTGCTCGCACCTCACCAACTTCGCCATCCTCATGCAGGTGGTCCCTCTGGAGGTAGGTGCTCCAGTGGCCTGGCATCGGCTGAGCAGGCCCTAGACCCATGGCCAGGCTGTGCCGTTCTTTTTATGTCCCCGGGAGTGACTAGACCCACTGTCACCAAGTTTGAAGGGCGAGCTGAAGGTGACCTGATGCACATGGAAAGCCCACAGTGAGGGGAACTGGAGGGGACAAGGACGCCACAGAGGCCTCTCGCCTGGAAGGGGTTCATAGAAGCCCCTGGGCTGCCTGCCCTTGGGGAGACATTCAGAGGCCACGTAAAGAACCAGGAGGTCTTCAGAGAGATGTGAGCACCAGCAGTGTGAGCATCAGGGGGGCCTGCGGAGTGGTGTGAGCACCAGCAGTGTGAGCATCAGGGGGGCCTGAGGAGTGGTGTGAGCACCAGCAGTGTGAGCATCAGGGGGGCCTGAGGAGTGGTGTGAGCACCAGCAGTGTGAGCATCAGGGGGGTCTGTGGAGAGGTGTGATCACCAGCAGTGTGAGCATCAGGGGGGCCTGAGGAGTGGTGTGAGCACCAGCAGTGTGAGCATCAGGGGGGTCTGTGGAGAGGTGTGATCACCAGCAGTGTGAGCATCAGGGGGGTCTGTGGAGTGGTGTGAGCACCAGCAGTGTGAGCATCAGGAGGGTCTGTGGAGTGGTGTGAGCACCAGCAGTGTGAGCACCAGGGGGTCTGTGGAGTAGTGTGAGCACCAGGGGGCATCTGCAGAATGGTGTGAGCACCAGGGGGCATCTGCAGAGCAGTGGAACACCAGTAGTGTGAGCACCAGGGGTGCCTGTGGAGCGGTGTGAGCACCAGGGGGGTCTGCGGAGTAGTGTGAGCACCAGGGGGCATCTGCAGAATGGTGTGAGCACCAGGGGGTCTGCAGAGTGGTGTGAGCACCAGGGGGCATCTGCAGAGTGGTGTGAGCACCAGGGGGTCTGCAGAGTGATGTGAGCACCAGGGGGTCTGCAGAGTGGTGTGAGCACCAGGGGGCATCTGCAGAGTGGTGTGAGCACCAGGGGGCATCTGCAGAGTAGTGTGAGCACCAGGGGGTCTGCAGAGTGGTGTGAGCACCAGGGGGGTCTGCAGAGTGATGTGAGCACCAGGGGGTCTGCAGAGTGGTGTGAGCACCAGGGGGCATCTGCAGAGTGGTGTGAGCACCAGGGGGCATCTGCAGAGTAGTGTGAGCACCAGGGGGCATCTGCAGAATGGTGTGAGCACCAGGGGGGTCTGCAGAGTGGTGTGAGCACCAGGGGGCATCTGCAGAGTAGTGTGAGCACCAGGGGGCATCTGCAGAATGGTGTGAGCACCAGGGGGCATCTGCAGAGTGGTGTGAGCACCAGGGGGCATCTGCAGAGCAGTGGAACACCAGCAGTGTGAGCACCAGGGGTGCCTGTGGAGCGGTGTGAGCACCAGGGGGGTCTGCAGAGTAGTGTGAGCACCAGTAGTGTGAGCACCAGGGGTGCCTGTGGAGCGGTGTGAGCATCAGGGGGGTCTGCAGAGCAATGTGGGCATCAGGAGAGTCTGTGGAACGGTGGGAGGGCCAGGAGCTTAGGGATGGTGGGTAGGGGCACCAGGGACCACCAGGAAGTTGCAGAGCATTGTGCAGTTTTAGGGAGAAAGGGAAGAGGTGCATTCCACAAAGTCACAAGAACAGGCTCCCGAAGCACTCTGATGATAAATCTGTCACCACTCACTGGTGACACTGGATTTAGACAGTCTGTGGGTGTCTTAGTGGGAGAAGATCATATCCATTCATTGCCAGAAAAAGTTGATTTGAAAATGGTCTAAAATTATCCCTGCTAAAATTGAACCTTCTCATGAATGTTAAAGAAATTAAGGCAGATCCCACAAGTGTTAGCAAATGTGCGGCATGTTCATGAGTTAAAAGGCCCATACTGTGACCTGTGTCCCTGCCAAGCCCACCTCTTCTGCAGAACCCTGAGCTTGTCCTGTGGGGCTGGGGCTGGGCGGGGCTGGGGCTGGGGCTGGGGCTGGGGCTGGGCGGGGCTGGGGCTCGGGCTGGGGCTGGGCTGGGGCTGGGCTGGGGCTGGGGCTGGGGCTGGGGCTGGGCTGGGGCTGGGGCTGGGGCTGGGCTGGGCTGGGGCTGGGCTGGGCTGGGGCTGGGGCTGGGCTGGGGCTGGGCTGGGGCTGGGGCTGGGGCTGGGGCTGGGGCTGGGGCTGGGCTGGGGCTGGGGCTGGGCTGGGCTGGGCTGGGCTGGGCTGGGGCTGGGGCTGGGCTGGGGCTGGGCTGGGGCTGGGCTGGGCTGGAGCGGGGCTGGGGCTGGGGCTGGGCGGGGCTGGGGCGGGGCTGGGCGGGGCTGGGCTGGGCGGGGCTGGGGCTGGGCTGGGGCTGGGGCTGGGCTGGGGCTGGGCTGGGGCTGGGCTGGGCTGGGGCTGGGGCTGGGCTGGGGCTGGGGCTGGGCTGGGGCTGGGGCTGGGCGGGGCTGGGCGGGGCGGGGCGGGGCGGGGGCTGGGCGGGGCGGGGGCTGGGCGGGGCGGGGGCTGGGGCGGGGCTGGGGTTGGGCTGGGCGGGGCGGGGGCTGGGCTGGGGCTGGGCGGGCCTGGGGCTGGGTGGGGCTGGGGCTGGGTTGGAGCTGGGGCTGGGCGGGGCTGGGGCTGGGGCTGGGCTGGAGCTGGGCGGGGCTGGGGCTGGGCTGGGGCTGGGGCGGGGCTGGGGCTGGGCTGGGGCTGGGGCTGGGCTGGGGCTGGGGCTGGGCTGGGGCTGGGGCTGGGGCTGGGGCTGGGCTGGGGCTGGGGCTGGGCTGGGGCTGGGCGGGGCTGGGGCTGGGCTGGGGCTGGGGCTGGGCTGGGGCTGGGGCTGGGCTGGGGCGGGGCTGGGGCGGGGCTGGGGCTGGGCTGGAGCTGGGCGGGGCTGGGGCTGGGCTGGGCTGGGGCTGGGCGGGGCTGGGGCTGGGGCTGGGCTGGGCGGGGCTGGGGCGGGGCTGGGCTGGGGCGGGGCTGGGGCTGGGCTGGGGCGGGGCTGGGCTGGGGCTGGGGCGGGGCTGGGGCGGGGCGGGGCAGGGCTGGGGCTGGGCGGGGCTGGAGCTGCGGCTGGGCTGGGCTGGGCTGGGGCGGGGCGGGGGCGGGGCTGGGGCGGGGCTGGGCGGGGCTGGGGTGGGGCTGGGGCGGGGCTGGGCTGGGGCGGGGCTGGGGCGGGCGGGGCTGGGGCGGGGGCGGGGCGGGGCTGGGCTGGGCTGGGGCTGGGCGGGGCAGGGCTGGGCTGGGCTGGGCTGGGCGGGGCAGGGCTGGGCTGGGCTGGGCTGGGCGGGGCTGGGCTGGGGCTGGAGCTGGGCTGGGCTGGGCTGGGCTGGGCTGGGCGGGGCAGGGCTGGGCTGGGCTGGGCGGGGCTGGGCTGGGGCTGGAGCTGGGCTGGGCTGGGCTGGGGCGGGGCTGGGGCGGGGCAGGGCTGGGCTGGGCTGGGCGGGGCTGGGCTGGGGCTGGGGCGGGGCTGGGGCTGGGCTGGGGCTGGGCTGGGCTGGGGCTGGGCTGGGGCTGGGGCGGGGCTGGGCTGGGCTGGGCTGGGCGGGGCGGGGCTGGGCTGGGCTGGGGCGGGGCTGGGCGGGGCAGGGCGGGGCTGGGGCAGGGCTGGGCTGGGCTGGGCTGGGCTGGGCTGGGCTGGGGCTGGGCTGGGCTGGGCTGGGCAGGGCGGGGCTGGGGCAGGGCTGGGCTGGGCTGGGGCTGGGCTGGGGCTGGGCGGGGCTGGGGCGGGGCTGGGCGGGGCTGGGGCGGGGCTGGGCTGGGCTGGGGCTGGGCTGGGCTGGGCTGGGGCAGGGCGGGGCGGGGCGGGGCTGGGCTGGGGCAGGGCGGGGCGGGGCGGGGCTGGGCGGGGCTGGGCGGGGCAGGGCTGGGCGGGGCGGGGCTGGTCTGGGGCTGGGCTGGGCTGGGCTGGGCTGGGGCGGGGCGGGGCTGGGCTGGGGCGGGGCGGGGCTGGGCTGGGGCGGGGCTGGGCGGGGCAGGGCTGGGCTGGGGCTGGGCGGGGCTGGGCTGGGCGGGGCTGGGCGGGGCTGGGCGGGGCTGGGGCTGGGCGGGGCTGGGCGGGGCTGGGCTGGGGCTGGGCTGGGCTGGGGCGGGGCTGGGCGGGGCTGGGCTGGGGCGGGGCTGGGCGGGGCTGGGCTGGGGCGGGGCTGGGCGGGGCTGGGGCTGGGCGGGGCTGGGCTGGGCTGGGCGGGGCTGGGCTGGGGCTGGGCTGGGGCGGGGCTGGGGCGGGGCTGGGCTGGGGCGGGGCTGGGCGGGGCTGGGGCGGGGCGGGGCGGGGCGGGGCTGGGCTGGGCTGGGCTGGGCTGGGCTGGGCTGGGCTGGGGCTGGGCTGGGCTGGGCTGGGGCAGGGCTGGGGCTGGGCTGGGGCTGGGCTGGGCTGCCGCTGCCCTCCACACTCATGGCGCTTCCCTCAGCGTCTCTCCTGGCTTTCCCCATACCTGTTTTCTCCTTGAAGCTCATTTCCAGAGGCTTTCCTGGCCTTCTTTGCAGTTCCATCAAAGAATGGGGTTCACTCAGGCAAACCCCACTTAGGTGAGCTGTGGCTAGAACTGTTGTGCTCCAGAGCTGCCCTGGAGGGGTCAGCCCTCAGGGCAGTGGCCCAGAGACCACAGGAGGCAGGTGGGGGCTGGAGTGTGTGTTCTGTCTGAGGGCAGGCCACAGGGGCACAGTGGTCAGGCACTCTGAACACGGCCTGGGCCGCTGCAGGCTGGCCCTGCCAAGGCGTATGACAGGTGTCTTCTGTCCAGGACTCTAGTGGAAAGCAACACAGCCACAGGGCCAACTTGGAAAAGAAATTGCAGGAAGGTCATGAAGGAGAGCAGTGGCGTTGGGATACGGAGGGGGTGAGGACCAGCCGGCTACCGTGGGATGACAGAGTAGTGGGCTCACACAGGCGAGCCTCAACTCTCCTGTCTGGTGTCCCCACCCCACACTCACTCATGTCCAGAGGGCCCCAGAGATGCACCCTGTGGGGAGGGGGGCACCCAGGAAGGCTGTGGTGGCTACCCAGGCCTTGAGCTGGCCGTCACTGGGCTGCTTCTCCCCCAGGCATGGCTTCTTCCCCAGGCATGGCTTCTCCCCCAGGCATGGCTTCTTCCCCAGGCATGGCTTCTCCCCCAGGCATGGCTTCTCCCCAGGCATGGCCTCTCCCCCCCTATGGCTTCTCCCCCAGGCATGGCTTCTCCCCAGGCATGGCTTCTCCCCAGGCATGGCTTCTCCCCAGGCATGGCTTCTCCTCTAGGCATGGCTTCTCCCCAGCCATGGCTTCTCCCCAGCCATGGCTTCTCCCCAGCCATGGCTTCTCCCCAGACATGGCTTCTCCCCGGCCATGGCTTCTTCCCCAGGCATGGCTTCTCCCCAGGCATGGCCTCTCCCCCCTATGGCTTCTCCCCCAGGCATGGCTTCTCCCCAGGCATGGCTTCTCCCCAGGCATGGCTTCTCCCCAGGCATGGCTTCTCCCCGGCCATGGCTTCTTCCCCAGGCATGGCTTCTCCCCAGGCATGGCTTCTCCTCAGGCATGGCCTCTCCCCAGGCATGGCTTCTCCTCAGGCATGGCTTCTCCCCAGGCATGGCTTCTCCTCTAGGCATGGCTTCTCCCCAGCCATGGCTTCTCCCCAGGCATGGCTTCTCCCCAGCCATGGCTTCTCCCCCAGGCATGGCTTCTCCCCAGCCATGGCTTCTCTCCAGGCATGGCTTCTCCCTAGGCATGGCTTCTCCCCAGGCATGGCTTCTCCCCAGCCATGGCTTCTCCCCCAGGCATGGCTTCTCCCCAGGCATGGCTTCTCCCCGCCCCATGGCTTCTCCCCAGCCATGACTTCTCCCCAGGCATGGCTTCTCCCCCCTATGGCTTCTCCCCCAGGCATGGCTTCTCCCCAGGCATGGCTTCTCCCCCAGGCATGGCTTCTCCCCAGTCATGGCTTCTCCCCCAGGCATGGCTTCTCCTCTAGGCATGGCTTCTCCCCAGCCATGGCTTCTCCCCAGGCATGGCTTCTCCCCCAGGCATGGCTTCTCCCCAGGCATGGCTTCTCCCCAGGCATGGCTTCTCCCCAGGCATGGCTTCTCCCCGCCCCATGGCTTCTCCCCAGTCATGGCTTCTCCCCAGGCATGGCTTCTCCCCCCTATGGCTTCTCCCCTAGGCATGGCTTCTCCCCAGGCATGGCTTCTCCCCAGGCATGGCTTCTCCCCGCCCCATGGCTTCTCCCCAGGCATGGCTTCTCCCCAGGCATGGCTTCTCCCCCAGGCATGGCCTCTCCCCCAGGCATGGTCTCTTCAGTGGCTTTTCCCCAGCCTGTCCTTAGGCTTTTCCTCTAGGTTCTGGGGTGTCACTGGGCATGCTCTGGCGAAAGTGCAGGAGCCCTGGGCCAGAACAGGTTCCGGGCAGAGTCCCTCCTGGTGCCTGGCCTCAGACAGCCTGCCATGTGACAGCCAAAACAGTGGTCTAAAGGCTGATTTTGGCTTGGAGACAAGTTTCATTTGAAATTGAAACTGCCGAGGTTTCGATTTGGGAAAATCAGTAGCCAGCATTTCAAGCACAGATGTATTTTCATAAAGCTGGTCTTTCTGGTTTTCAATAAAGCAGACCTGGCCACACCAGGAACGGCTGGAGTGAGCATGGGCCTCGGGCCCTGTTCTCAGCACCTGCCACCCGAAGCCCCGCTCACCTCTGCCCCCCTCATCTCTGCCACCCTCATCTCTGCCCCCTCACCTCTGCCCCCTCACCTCTGACCCCCTCCCGCCTCAGCTTGCACCAGAGGCAGTAGCCTGGCCTTCCTTCTTGTCTGAGAGGAGGATGTGTCTGCCTGGAGGGACGTGGCTTCGAGGAGCGGTGTCGTGCTATCCATGTCCTCTGTGAGCCCCCACAGGCATCTGAGTTTGTGGTCTCTGACTCAGAGCCTCCCTTGTCCTGAAGCAAACTTCAGGCCTTTCCGGTCATTTCTAAATCTGTCTGTGGGTAGGGAAGAACAGAATGGCTGGGCACAGCCAGGACATGCCACCCCTTCCTGGGACAGCAGTATGTCAGCTGTACCATGGCTACCTTGGACCCCTGGTGGCAGGACCCACGGTCGGCAGGTGCTGAGCAGGCTGCAGTTGGCTGGCAGGAGGGGAGTGGGCCTCAGGTGGATCCGCTGAGAGCCTGGTGAGCTCTCTCGGTGCTCTCAGGCAGGGTGGGGTGGGGCAGGGTGCAGGCAGGCAGTACTGGCTTCTCTTGGGGGCGGACACAGTACAGGACCGGCTATCACACAGGCCTGGCGTGTGCCTGCAGATGACCTCAGTGAGGGCCTGTCCAAGGTGGTGCAGCCTGGTCCCTCCTCCTAACTAGAGGGCACAGTCTCCCCACAGCTGTGTGCTGAACTGGCGAGCAGGCCTCCCTATGCAGTGCAGGGGGACCTTGCTTCCTGGGTGCTATGGTGAGGACTGGGGGGGTAGGAGATTCCACCCAGCCCAAGGATTTAGCCCAAGCACACATACTTAGTAGATACTTCCTCCATCTCAACCCAGGATCTAGCTCTGAGCAGCTAGCCTAAGAGTGCCTACCTCTGAGCGTGAGGCCTAGACGTGTCCTGGGCCCCAGGCTCTGGGCACATTGGAGTAGGGGGCGGAGCAGGCCTGCGCCTCCCTTGTGACCGTAGCTCTCCTCTGTTAAAAGGCTGGCATTCCTGGCCATGCCAAGGGCAGTGGGGCCCTGGGATCTCTGCCCTCCGGCAGGAGGTCTGACACCTGTTGAATGAGGGGCCATAAGGAGCTCTTCCCCCTCACAGCTCCTCCTCTTCCTGTCTCAGCCCACCCTGACTTGCGCTTCTCCCTACTCCTCTCTCAGCTCACAGCCCCTTTGTTCTCTGGACAAAGGGTGAAGATTACAGTCCTAAAAATGTATTCTCGTATCTGAGAGATTGTTCCATCTGGGTGTCTACAGACCTGATTTCTCAGGAAACAGCTGTGTTTCCCTGGACTTGCACCGCTGTGGACACGCTTGAGGGTGGTGTCTGGACACAGTCTGTCCCTCCACGCACAGCCCCCACTCCCCCACCCCCTCTGGCTTGGCGGAGCAGCCTGTAATTTAAACTCTGGAAGCTGTTAGAGCCGCCCCAGCCGTGCTGGGTGGGCCCCAGGCTGAGGCAGCAGGGCATCACGGTGGCTGCTCGTCCTGGGCTGGGGGCGGGTGCCCACGTAGGGCACCCACGCAGGGCCTTGGCCCTGCGACGACACTGAGGCTTGTGATGGTCAGAAGCCAAGGACCCGAGGAGGAGTCCGGGCACGCAGCCGGACAGCCAGGCAGCCCCGGGTACGAGGAGGTGGATGGGTGCTAGAGGACCTGGGCAGCTGAGAACACCTGAAATGCCAAAACCAAGGTCACAGGCACAGGACTGGCTGGTGGAAGTAGACGCTGGGGTGGGAAGCAGGCTCCAGGGCCGGCCAGCCTCACGCCACTGTGTCCCTCTGCACCTGCAGCTCTCTCACAGACACCAGGTGGCGCTGTCGTCCGTCAGTTACATCGGCTGCTCCCTGTCGGTGCTCTGCCTGGCCGCCACGCTGGTCACCTTCGCTGTGCTGTCGTGAGTCACCCCTCGCCCCCGCGCTCAGGGAGGCTGCTGGCCGCTTCCTGTAGATGTACACACCACCCCCGCTGGACCTCCCTGGGAGCATCCCGGCCCTGCCCAGCGTCTGCACATCCTGTGCTCTGGGGTGGGGGCTGTTCCCTGAGCTCAGGTGCCAGGAAAGGCCATGGGGCTGCCAGGGAACCTAGAAAAACAGATGAGGCTGAGAAGATGGGGACACCATGCCTCACCAAGCTGGAAAGGTCTGGAGAGGCCTCCAGCCGGATGATAGGAGTTCTTGTGAGACCCAATTCAGGCAAAGATAGACTCAGCCATCCCTGACCATCCTGACACAGCCATCCCTGACCATCCTGACACGGCCATCCCTGACCATCCTGACATGACCATCCCTGACCATCCTTCCCCTCAGCCATCCCTGACCATCCTAACATGGCCATCCCTGACCATCCTGCCCCTCAGCCATCCCTGACCATCCTGCCCCTCAGCCATCCCTGACCATCCTGACACGGCCATCCCTGACCATCCTGACACAGCCATCCCTGACCATCCTGCCCCTCAGCCATCCCTGACCATCCTGCCCCTCAGCCATCCCTGACCACCCTGCCCCTCAGCCATCCCTGACCATCCTGCCCCTCAGCCATCCCTGACCATCCTGCCCCTCAGCCATCCCTGACCATCCTGACACGGCCATCCCTGACCACCCTGCCCCTCAGCCATCCCTGACCATCCTGACACAGCCATCCCTGACCACCCTGCCCCTCAGCCATCCCTGACCATCCTGCCCCTCAGCCATCCCTGACCATCCTGCCCCTCAGCCATCCCTGACCATCCTGACACGGCCATCCCTGACCACCCTGCCCCTCAGCCATCCCTGACCATCCTGCCCCTCAGCCATCCCTGACCATCCCTGCTCCTCAGCCATCCCTGACCTTCCTGACACGGCCATCCCTGACCATCCTGACACGGCCATCCCTGACCATCCTGACACAGCCATCCCTGACCATCCTGCCCCTCAGCCATCCCTGACCATCCTGCCCCTCAGCCATCCCTGACCTTCCTGACACGGCCATCCCTGACCATCCTGACACGGCCATCCCTGACCATCCTGACACGGCCATCCCTGACCATCCTGACATGGCCATCCCTGACCATTCCTGCTCCTCAGCCATCCCTGACCTTCCTGACACGGCCATCCCTGACCACCCTGCCCCTCAGCCATCCCTGACCATCCTGACATGGCCATCCCTGACCTTCCTGACACAGCCATCCCTGACCATCCTGCCCCTCAGCCATGGCACCAGGCCTCAAGGAATGATGGTGCAAGGCAGATACAGGGGGTGGGGGAGTGGCAGTCAGTAACCAAGGAGAGCAGAGTGTGAGCAGTGTTTGCACATGGCAGTCTCCTCATGCGTGCTGAGGGGTGAGCTGCTTGGAACAGGCAGGTGGGAGCTCTCTCTAAGGCTGGCCTGAGTCTCCACGCAGAGCTTTGCTGGGCAAGGGCTGCAGGTGCAGGGGTTCCAGGGCTGGGGCAAGTGAGCAGGAACAGAAAGAGCCATTTGAGTAACTGGCAAGGCTGACTCCTGGGCCATTGGGTCTGTGATAGGAGCTGGGACCTGTCACTCGGGGATAGAGTACCAGCCTTAGGTTGGGTTTTGTAAAGACCACTCTGATTGCTCTTGGAGGAATGGGTGTTGGGACCCTGTGGAGACCCTGGACAGGGAGCCCAGCTGGGGCTGAGCAGTTGCGGCTAAGCCCAGCTGACCTGGGCCTCACACCCTGCCTTCCCTTTCCTCAGCTCCGTCAGCACTATCAGGAACCAGCGCTACCACATCCATGCCAACCTGTCATTTGCTGTCCTGGCGGCCCAGGTCCTGCTGCTTATCAGCTTCCAGGGGCAGCCTGGCACGGTGAGTAGGTCCCGCCCTGCCCTGCCATCACCCTCTGCCTCCTGCTGGCCTCTGCAGCTCAGAGTTCAGGCCAGCCTCCGAGCAAGCCGGTCCATGGTCCTGCAGTCAATGGGGAGGGGCAGGTGGGATGGGGAGGGACACGGGGCTCGGCAAACCGCTTGGACTAAGAAACTGAAGCCTGGACCCTTGGAGAAGAGAGGAGGCAGGGAGGCGGAGACAGTTGCACAGCCTGCTGGAGCAGCAGAGTCTGACCTGTCTCTGCTTGGTCCCAGGTGCCCTGCCGGGCTCTCGCTATGCTTCTGCACTACTTCTTCCTGAGCACCTTCGCGTGGATGCTGGTGGAGGGGCTGCATCTCTACAGCATGGTTGTCAAGGTCTTCGGGTCAGAGGACAGCAAGCACCTCTACTACTACGGGATAGGCTGGGGTAGGTGGAGGGGCGGGGCGGGGAGGGGCAGGTGCGATGGGGAGGGACACGGGGCTCGGCAAACCGCTTGAACTAAGAAACTGAAGCCTGGACCCTTGGAGAAGAGAGGAGGCAGGGAGGCGGAGACAGTTGCACAGCCTGCTGGAGCAGCAGAGTCTGACCTGTCTCTGCTTGGTCCCAGGTGCCCTGCCGGGCTCTCGCTATGCTTCTGCACTACTTCTTCCTGAGCACCTTCGCGTGGATGCTGGTGGAGGGGCTGCATCTCTACAGCATGGTCGTCAAGGTCTTGGGGACAGAGGACAGCAAGCCCCTCTATGACTACCGGATAGGCTAGGGAAGGTGGAGGGGCGGGGCTGGAGGACTACGGCACCTCTGCGGTTCTGGGATAGGCTGGAGTAGGCAGGAGGTGCAGGGCTAGGAGCGGGAGGCAGGATGGGGAGGCCAGGCGTGCTCCCCATTGTTCTCCAGGGGCCCAGATGGGAAGGACAACCAGACATCACATCATCCAGAACACTTACTACGCCTCTGACCTCATTGGGCCATTTTTCTGAGAAGCAACTTTTAGTTTTACCAGCTTTATAATTTCCAGTGATGTGTTTATTAATTTCAGTTTTAAACCTCACTATTTCCTCCCCTGGGCTTTTTTTTAAAGCTTTTCTTCTGCTTGCTTCTCTTCCTGTGTGTTCAGAAAAAAACACAAGTTGTCGGGTTTTAGGACAGGCATATGTAGGTATGTGTTTTCTCCTCCCTCAGTTGCATCCATATGTTTTGATCTGGGGGACCTCATTTTTGTTCATTCCATGTGTTTTCTAGCTTCTGACTCCTTTGACCCCTTGATCATTTATGAGTGTTAATTTCCACGCTTGTGAGTTTCTCATATTTTTACTTCTACTGATTCCTAATTCCGTTCTGTTGCAGAACAAGTTGTACGATTCCAGTCCTTTGAAGTGTATCAGGGTTTGCTTTACAGCTCAGTAAATGATGGATCCTGGGAACATTCCATCTGCCCTTGAGAAGATCGCGTGTTCTGTGGGTATTGGAGGGAGCTGGTTCACAGTGACTCAAGTCCTGTTTCTTTGTTGACTTCTGTCTGCTTTTTCTCTCCATGGTTGAAAGTGAGGATTGGTGTCTCCATTTTACTGCATTCCCTCAGCTATTAGGTTTTGCTCTGTGTCTCTGGGGGCTCTGTTTGGGGGTTACACATACATTTATATTTGTCTTTCTGATAAACAGATCCTTTTATATTGAGGAGGTATCTAGCTCCAGTGTTGTTCTTCATCTTGAGATCTGCTTTCCTGTAGCTGCTCGCTACAGGGTGCATCTTTTCCTCAGCAGACTGGGGATTGAACTCAGGGCCTCTTACTTGCTAGACAAAGGCTGTACCATCGAGCCATGCCTCCAGCCTCTTTTCTGTACTTTCCACATCCACGTGTCTGTGTGTTTGCAGCTGAACCATGTCTCCATGGGTGGGATACAGTTGGATCTTGGTGCTTCTTTCCACCTTTTCATTGGATTGTTGAACCCTTGCACATCCACACTTTGATGTATGTAGAGACTGGCATCTGCGGCGGCTAGTCTGCCGTCGTGTGGGTCAGGTGATGGCTGCTGTAACACTGTAATTCCCTTTATGAACTTCCACCACTTAGCGACTGCTTTGTTGCTTACTCTACACAGCTTAGTATATTAAAACCTATTTCAGACTTACACTAAATGAAGCGAGATTTATTATTTCATTCTTTCACAGTTATACTGCATCTATATGTGGTACAACTCTACAGTCTGTTGTATAACTATTACTTTACTGAATCTCACGCCTCTGAAGGAGCTGAGGTAAGAAAGGAGTCTGAGCACGAATTACTGAATCTGTCGTATCATCTTCCTATTTGCAGTTTCTGCTTCCTTCCTTCTGCCCTGTGACTTCTAGCTACTATCTGGCTTTATCACCACACTCTGATAACACCTTGCTACTCAGCCTCCTCTGCACTGTTAATGAAGACTTTTTCCTTCTTGTTACAGGCCTAATACAACAACTATATAAATTTCACTTTTACTATTACTGTTTCACTCAATCATGAGAGAAGAAGGCTATGTTTTATGCTGTCTCTTATAATGCCATCATTCCCTTATTGGTACTGAGTATATTTCCGTGTGTGTGTGTGTGTGTGTGTGTGTGTGTCCATGCATGTATTAGAATAACCGTCAGGGCTACTTCCAGCCTGGAGAAGATCCTGAAGTCTTCTCGTAGGGCAGGCCTAGCAGCTGCAAATTCCTCTGGGAAATGTCTCTATTTCACCTTCATTTTTAAAAGACAGTTTTGCTTGACATAGGATTCTTTTTTCTTTTGGTATTTTGCTCTCATGGACTCTAGCTCTGGAATTTTCCACGATGCCAGTTTTTAATCCGCCCAGGGTTCTTGTGTGTGAAGACACATTTTTTCAGGATTCTCTTTGTCTTTAAGCATTTTATTCTCTTGTGCTCTTCTTTTCTCTCTGACCCTCTGGCCCCTGAGAGGTTTGTGTCGGGGGCGCTCACGCTCCCTGGGGTCCACGGCTCTTGTTGCCTCTCTGGTCCCCCTTGCCCCTCACCCAGCGCAGCCCATCTTCAAGCCTACTACTTTCTCCTGCCATAGTCTTCAGCGAGGCTTTTCTTCAGTTATTACACTTTTCAGCTTGGTTCTTGCCATTTCTCTTAAGAACCTTTCCCCTCCTAATTGATAATTTCTTACTGACAAGACACTGTCATGGTGCCTTCCTTCCGTTCTTTGCTGCAGGGTCATTCTCTCCTTACACACTTGTGACAGTGCTTTGAAGTCTTCCATTCTTGAAGGTGGCTTCTGCTGCCTGCTTTCCTCTTTGTTCCGGCCACACTTTCTTCTTTCTTTATGTGTCTAACGTCTTTTATAAACTGGCTGTTTAGATGATACATTGTAGTAATCCAAATCCTGACTTCCTCTTCCATGGCTCCTTGTTTGCTAGTTTACTGTTTCCTGACTTGGACTACTGGGTAAAGTCTGCTTTCCTCGCTGCCCCCAGGAGTGCAGCTGTAAGCTGACTCTTCCTGCAGGGGACAGAGGTACCTGTGGGCAGTCACCTCTTGTTTGCAGAGTTTGTCTGTGCCCTATGTGCTGCACAGACCACACCCTGAATGAGTATTGGAGGAAGGGAACTCAGCCTGTCAGCTGCTCCTACCTGGATGGCCCTTCCTAGACCCAGAGGTCAGCAGAAGCCAGAGCTCTGGGGCCAGAGCTTCGACAGAGGAGCTCACAGGAGTGGGTCCTCCTTCGTGGGGAGCTGGGGAGGGAGGCTCAGGAGTAGCTGGTCCTCCCCGTTCTTACCAAGATTTTCTTGAGTAAACTTCCCACAACTTTAGGGAAGCTTGTGTAATCTACTCAGACAGTTGAGGGGGCCATGGGCCTGCACGGCACTCGTCTCCGGGTGGCTGCTCATGCACATGGTTCATTGGTTGCATTGCGCTTGCCCACCCTGGGAGTGGCAGCCAGCACAGGGGCCCTGCTTCCTCCCAGAGTTCTGTGCTGCACACCAGCACCTGACATTCTTAAAATGTTAGAAAACACTGGCGGGGCATTATGGACCTGTTCCTGGCTTCTGGTTTTCTCCATAGATGCAGTTTTCACAGTTCTCATTATGCAGGCAGCAGATTACACACGTTTATTTTGTGCTTTGAGTTGGCAAATATAATTTATTGAAGGATGAAGTGGAAGTAAATTATGCATCCCTCCTGGCTGCCCTAGGGACTGGAGCAGGGGACACAGAGCCACCTCTAATTGGGGTGGCCATTCCAGGGTCCTGTGCCCACCTCTCTGCTCCTGCCTGGGTCCACGTGTGTACCTGAACACATGTTAGACCCCAGCCTTGCCCATTGCTGTCCCAGTCCAGTTCTAGTGTGACCAGCCCCTTCAGCCCTCTGGCTCCCCGGAGAGCAGTACTCCTCCTTCCTGTGACCTCTGGCCTCATGTAGGAGCAATTTAGAAGATGGCAAGACCAGCCACCTGGTTTGTCAGTGTCTCTCCCATTCTGTTGCACAGCCTGGGCGCCACAGGGCTGCTTTTAGCGAGAAAGGAGCCGTGGGTTTCCTGGGAGCCTCTCTGTGAGTGTGAGTGTATGAGGGTGCGTCAGTGTGTTTCAGTGTGTATACGTGTGTGTGTGTGTGTGTGTGTGTGAGATGATCCACTCCAGCCTGGAGAGAGGTTTGATTTGATCTGTACAATGTTGGAAAAAAGTAATTATTTGCCAGTGTTTAAAAATTGAGGACCTTTACATACAATTTCAGTGCTCTTTTGAAAAGCAAGGAGTCCAGGTCTCCTGACCTTCACAGCACAGCTGGCACTGTGGCACTGTGTGGCACCGATTCTGACACATGCGGTGCCCGCAGGGCTGGAGGCTGTGGCCTGACGCAGCTCTCCGCAAATAGAGCACAGGCGGCTCTGCTCACCCGCAGCTCCATCCATCATCCCGTCAGCTTCCCCTTAATTAATTTCGTCAAGAGCCTGTAAAAGGCATCCTTCATCCCGACCGGGCTGGGCTGGCTGTGGGCCTAAGTAAAGACAGTCTACAGGCAACAGAGCTCTCTCAACCTCAGCCATTAATTAAGGAGCTGAAGGCTGACCCAGAGTGGGAGGCCGTGCTGCAGGCAGAGCCCCTCAGCGACAGCTTCCTCCCTCACTCAGAAGGAGGACATGAAGCTGCCCTCCCGGGGGACGCTGGGGGGTTACTGTAGCATGGAGAAGCAGTGGGGACAAGCTGCCCTCTGCATCCTCTGGAGCCAGACCACCCAGCACTGACGCCAAGAGCCACCGTCCTAGAGCACTTCCCCAAAACCAGCAGTGCAGCTTGCCTTAGGAGTGCTTTTCTTAAATACCGGCTTTGCAGGGCCTAGAGCGTGGGAGAGAGCCAGCCCCTCCCATCCCTACTTTCAGCCCTGCAGGGGCACAGAGCTGGGGTGGGAGGCTGGATGGGTGCCTCATGCCTGATGCTGTGCCTTCTGAGCAGCCCGGAGCAGATGGTCTGCAGGAACAGACCACATTCGCAAGGGATCTGCCTCTGAGTTCAGCTGCGGGGATGGAAGTGGACAGCTTTTCCAGAACAAACGCCGGGGATGGTCTAGCTTGGGGAGCACACAATACATTTTCCCTTTGTAGATTCATAGCCGAATTCACATATAAACCCCCTGAGCTTCAAAGTGAGATTAAAGACTAGTTCACTCTGGTCAGGCCAGAGTCTGTAAAAGCAGTTTGACCCCAGAATCCTTTCTCTGTAGCAAGACTGAGAGCTCTGGGAATTGCTGGTCGAGATGTTTTTCTACCTTGTTAAACTTCTCTTCTGCCATTGCCTCCCCGGAAGTGTGACATGGCTCTATAAAACATTAAACACATTTAATTAGTCACACTCAGTTTTAAGCATCAGAAATCCAACTCAAACTGGCTTAGGTGAAAAGAGAATTTAGCAGCTTGTGCAATATAACAGGCTCGCGGTGGGGGAGGTCAGGCATGGCTCAGTGCAGTCGGAGTGGCCTTCCTTGATCCCCTCACTCTCAGCGTCTTGAACTCCCTCATCCCCACTCCCGTGGTACCAAGATAGCTGCAGAGTTGCCCTCCATGCCTCGCACCCTTCCCAGGAGCCTGGCAGCAGGACAGCTCCTCTTTCTTGGTATTCTTAAAGAAGTTTCTGGCTGAGTCGCACTGGTGCATCCAGGTCTCATGCCCATCCTTGAGCCACAGAGATTGGGGATCCAGTTTGGCAGGCATCCAGACCACGTGCAGCGTGTACCCGTTATCATAAACAGAATGTCTGCAGCCACTGGCCCAAGTCCCCCGGGGACCTGCTCAGCCTGGCTGAGAACCAGAGCCCAGTCGGGTCCTCCCACAACAAAGACCCCTGCAGATCCTCAGTGAGAATGTAGGCAAGTGAGAGAATAGGTATGATCTCTGTTAGGTTCCTTCAGGACAGGAGATGTTCCGTGTCCCATTGCGTATCCACAGCTCTCACAGACATCAGGTATTAAGTGAACCCGTTTAATGTTTGGCCTCTGTCTGTGCAGGGACCCCTCTTCTCATCTGCATTGTCTCCATGTCAGCAGCCATGGACAGCTATGGGAGGAACAACAAGTAAGTGGGCCTGGGCTTGCAGGCCTTGGAGGGCAGTGGGGCAGGAGGTGAGCCTTCCTGTAGCCCGTCCACACATGTGCATCTGGGTGTAGGTGGGCCCCTGGGGGGTGGGTCTTCCTGTAGCCCTCGTCCACACATGTGCATGTGGGTGTAGGTAGGCCCCTGGGGGCGGGTCTTCCTGTACCCTTGTCCATACATGTGCATCTGGGTGTAGGTAGGCCCCTGGGGAGCAGATCTTCCTGTAGACCTTGTCCGTACATGTGCATCTGGGTGTAGATAGGCCCCTGGGGGCGGGTCTTCCTGTAGCCCTTGTCCGTACATGTGCATGTGGGTGTAGGTAGGCCCCTGGGGGCGGGTCTTCCTGCAGCCCTCATCCACACATGTGCATCTGGGTATAGGTAGGCCCTGGGGGGCTACCCCAGGCCTTGACAGTAAGAAAGGCCTGGGCCAGAGGCAAGGAGAAACCATTTCAGCTGTGCCCTTGGGACTAGCAACACAGGCGTCATGGTGCCCCAGGAATGGAGTGGGGCTGGTGGGAGTTTCTGACTGGAGCTTTTCCATGCATGTAGTCTGCTCAGACTTACAGGTCTAGGCACCCAGACAGCCCAAGTTTGAGATCCTGAGGCCTTTCCTGGGTAGTTAGTAAGTACACAGCCCTTGCCCACTACATTATATCTGAGTCAACACATTGGTGAACACACTTGCCCCAAGTGGGTAGGTCTTAAGATCTCTTGCTTGGTCACAAAAGGGAATCTGGTCCAAGACCCATGCCACCATCTTGCCACTGTAGCTGGTGTTCAGGAGTCTGGAAGGTGACACATCCTAGGGGCTCTGGGTTCTGGACAGTGCCATAGGGGTGGAAGGACACAGAATCCCACGTGGTACCTCGGGCGTGGAAGGATACAGAATCTAAGGGAGCTGTGTTGCTTGGAGTTCTAGCCACACATCTCAAAGCCAGGAAGAATCTCACATCCTGGCCTCTTGTGTCTCAGGATGCTAGGGAAAGTGTCAGATGGGCTGGACCTTTCCTGTAGGTTGGGGACCATGCAAGTGTCTGACCTGCAGCCCCTGGGAGGGTGGCCAGGGCCACAGCCTCCTCGTCTGTCCTCTGGGCCCTCATCGAGGACAGTGGTGCTGGCTCTGGTCCTGGCAAGCCCATGTTGATTTTGGTACTTCAAGGAAAACTAACTCTGGGTTTGACCAGCACTTTTAAAGGGTTCTGACCTGACATGCAGTTCTGGGACAGCCTGACCAGGTGAAGGTTCTCTCAGTGGGGGCCACTGCATCATTTGCCTGTGCCCCCGGGACCCTGGTCAAACCCATAGCATGGCAGGTGAAGCTGCTGATGTTAACTCTTCTCTTCCCTCCACAGCTGCTGGCTGTCGCTGGGGACTGGCGCCATCTGGGCCTTTGTGGGCCCTGCCTTGCTGGTTATTGTGGTAGGTCTCCATGGGCAAGAGTGGGCTGTGCAATGACCCTGGGCTCCTGGGACATACTAAGGGTACAGCAGTGCATTGTCATTCAGCCTCTCTCCTCATGGCTCCTCTGGGGTGGGTGACTCTCAGCCTGGCTTCCTGCAGTCTTGCAAAGGGCATGATTCTGGGGCCTGCCCGCTGGGGAGGGAGGCCTGCTCACCAGGGCCGGCAGTGTGTGTTAGTCGAGTGCAGAGAAGTGTGGGTGCTTCCCCTTTCTGCGAGAACTCCAGCCTCGATCTCCCCAGGCTGTGGGAGTGGGCAGTGGTACTAGCAGAGCCACACACATCACTTTTAGGATTCCTCTGGTTATGAGTGACAGCAAAGCTGGTAAGAGCTGAAACAGAGCTGAAATACTCCCCGCAGTATCTTTTCTATTCCCCACTCCATTCCTGGGGCAGGATGACACTTGGGTTGCCTCTTGCTCCAAGGTGCAGTGGCCCCAAAATGGAGACCACCCAGGTCCTACAGAACTCTCTCTGGTAACCATAACCAAGGCTCCCACAGAATCCTAGTGACCGCAGCCACGGCTCCCACAGAATCCTAGTGACCGGAGCCATAGCTCCCACAGAACCCTAGTGACCGGAGCCACGGCTCCCACAGAACCATAGTGACCGCAGCCAGGGCTCCCATGGAATCCTAGAGACCTCAGCCACGGCTCCCACAGAATCCTAGTGACCACAGCCATGGCTCCCACTGAATCCTAGAGACCACAGCCACGGCTCCCACAGAATCCTAGTGACTGAAGTCCCAGCTTCCACAGAATCTTAGAGACCACAGCCATGGCTCCCACAGAATCCTAGTGACCGCAGCCCCGGCTCCCACGGAATCCTAGAGACCGCAGCCCCGGCTTCCACAGAATCCTAGTGACCGGAGCCATAGCTCCCACAGAACCCTAGTGATCGGAGCCACGGCTCCCACAGAATCCTAGTGACCGCAGCCAGGGCTCCCATGGAATCCTAGAGACCTCAGCCACGGCTCCCACAGAATCCTAGAGACCATAGCCACGGCTCCCACAGAATCCTAGTGACCACAGCCATGGCTCCCACAGAATCCTAGAGACCACAGCCATGGCTCCCACTGAATCCTAGAGACCACAGCCACGGCTCCCATGGAATCCTAGAGACCGCAGACATGGCTCCCACAGAATCCTAGAGACCTCAGCCACGGCTCCCACAGAATCCTAGAGACCTCAGCCACGGCTCCCACAGAATCCTAGAGACCACAGCCACAGCTCCCACAGCATCCTAGAGACCACAGCCACAGCTCCCACGGAATCCTAGTGACCGCAGCCACAGCTCCCATGGAATCCTAGAGACTGCAGCCACGGCTCCCACAGAATCCTAGAGACCGCAGCCACGGCTCCCACGGAATCCTAGAGACCGCAGACATGGCTCCCACAGAATCTTAGAGACCTCAGCCACGGCTCCCACAGAATCCTAGAGACCACAGCCACAGCTCCCACGGAATCCTAGAGACCTTAGCCACGGCTCCCACGGAATCCTAGAGACCGCAGATATGGCTCCCACAGAATCTTAGAGACCTCAGCCACGGCTCCCACAGAATCCTAGAGACCACAGCCACAGCTCCCATGAAATCCTAGAAACCACAGCCATCACAACATTCTTAAGACTGAGTTTCATCCTTCCTGATGAGCCAGGTTAGAAGTCACCTCTTATGGGCCCTTGCTGAGCCTGAGGAGGAGGATGTTCTGACTGGCCAGCACTCCGTGTAGCTGGTATTCCATGGTTGCTGCCCTGGAGTCTGGGTCCACTTCCTCTCCTGCTCCCTTGCACTCACATCCCGGGCAGACGCTCAGTGCTGAGGTTGGCGTGGCGTGATGCCAGAGGGGACAGGCAGGGCATACCACACAGGTCTTTCCATGCTGTGCTGTTGTGTTGGCCTGCTGCCTTCAAGGAAGCAGAGGTCTGCAGCAAGAGCCCTCTCTCTGTCACTGTGGTCTCGATCGTGGCTATGTGAGTTCTCGGCGTAAACTCCTGAGGTGCTCTGAACACTGGTACCCAAGACAGATTTTTATCCAGATTGAGGCACAACTGGTTCTTGGATGCCCTATTCTGCCCTTTAACCTTTGGCGAGGGCTGGGTACTCAATCACAGGGACCAAGGCTAATTGATGATGAATGGGGCAGCACCCAGACACTCAGCCCTTCCATGACCTGGTTGTCTCAGGCCCTGCCTGATAGCGGCTAGGGACTGTCCTCCAGGCTGACCTGAGGACTGACCTCACCTCAGCAGGTGAAGGCTGAGGACCCGCTCCTCTGGGAGGATGTCACAGCCAGCCCGTTTTCTCTTGCCTAGCCTGCTCCTTTCCCCGTCAGTTCCCAGCTCCTGTGACTGTCCGCGTTGGGTGGGCAATTAGCAGTGACTCCAGGAGAGATGCTGAGAGGCTCTTTATTCCTTCTTCGTTGAGGTTCTGCTCAGATGCCTCTGGTGCCACACACACACCACAGCCTTCTTGGCTGAAGGGTTTGCAGAGGGACAGCGCTGGGGGTGAGGGCCGTGGTGGTGGCTCTCGTTGTCCTTGCTGCTGTGTGGGATGGGAGGCCTTCCCATGACTCCTGTCTTCCTCCTGTATTTGCTGGGCTCCCCACACGGGGTCCTACTGGTGACAGGGGCTTTGAAGGGTCCATGGGCACCAGAGAGGCCCCAGTAAGAGTCATGCTGGCAGTGTGGAAGGGGCCCTTGGGAGCTGCTGGTGACCAGGTCACCTGCTGGGCTGGGTCCTGGCCGAGGCCGCAGGAGCTCTGCTGGCATCCTGGGTCCTGGCTGAGCCCACAGGAGCTCTGCGGGCCTGGGTTCCAGACAGTGAGCGCCATCACCAATAATGCTGGAAAGGAATCACAGTCTATGTGACTGCTCCAGGTTTGGGGGAGTTCTGTGCTGTGTGAAGTCTGCAGGCCCCTGCCCAGATCATGGGAGTGGAGGGGAGAGGCCAGGCCCACTGCAGCCGCTCTCAGACACAGCCCTGGGATGAACGCTGCAGCCGTGACCGTGGCCCTCAAAGCTGATGGCACTTATTTCCTAGCCCTTGGCAGAGACAGTTGAGGGTGCTGCAGAGGGCCCTGCAGACCGTCGGGGCGTGTGCCGTGCCCCCTCTTCAGAGGATGGAGCCCTGTCCCCATTTACCCAGGAATCCCTGCCTTCCCTCCACATGAAGAAAGCAGGCTCAGGATGTCAAGCGTGGCCCGACCCCATTTGTGTAAAAGCTCTCTGTGGGCACGTGTTCTTGCCCAAGTGCATAATGGACAAGAAAATGTAGGCTGGAGCTCCCTCGAGGGGGCTCCCTGGTGAGAGGTAAGGGTTCAGGGAGGGCGGCTTCACAGTATGAGCATCTTAAGACACCCCATGCTGCTCACACAGCTTTAAACTAAAGCGGTTTTAGAAAGTGGAAGCCTATACTGCGTGTCAGGCTAGTTGGCGTCCCTGTGCCCTAGGAGGTCCATACGGGAAAAGCAAGATGTAGGGAACAGCATAGGCCGCCGTGGGCCTCCGCAGGAGTGCGGAGGACAGGGTAGAACTAGATCCTCCAGTAGCAGCCCCAAGTCACCTGACTGGAGGCAGACACACACGCACAGGCACATACACACACTCATTCCCTGACTTCTCAGTCCCACCCAGTGCTCTGAGTGCCCAAGCTGCTGTGACAAAGTGCTTTAAATAAGGAAATTACTCCTTCACTGTTCGGAAGGCAGAAGTCTCGCGTTCCAAGTGATGGAAGGTTGGTTTTCCCAGGGCCTCTGGCCTGGGCTTGTCAGTGGCCAGGGTGGGTGCACCAGACGCCTCCCTGTGTCCTCACATGGTCCTCTTCTTTGTGTGAACACCAGTCCTGTTGGATTAGGGCCTATCCTACTCTCACTTTAATGCAATCACCTCTCTAAAGACCCTGTTCCAAGTAGTCACATTCTGGAGTTTTGAGGGGGGGCACACCCAATTCTACTTGACAGGCCTCTCTGTCCCCACCCAGAGAGGGGCTCCGCGGAGAGCAGAAGCATTTTGGCCTATGTCCCCATGGGACAACGGTGCCTCCAGGCCAGGGAAGAAAGGGGTCTCTATGACTCAAAAATGCTCATCTCCTCAGAGAGGCCAAGGTGGCTGCGTTTAGAGTGACATTTAGATGCAGGACACACATAACAGGCATGCAGGTGAGTGTAGATACATAGGTAGATACAGAGTCATAGATGTACCTTTAATTGCAGACATGACTACACAAGTCCAGATAGACCCACAGAGAGATGAAGATAATATTACATCTAGATGCAGACCTATAACTACAGGTACAGGTGGAAACAGAAATGCCGACATAGTTACAGTCGCAGCATAGGCACCAGCAGACCCAAAGACAGATAGAGCTGGATACTCAGATCTGTGAGCACACACAGCTACTCAGACACACAGAGGTAACAACTATAGTACTGTGCACAGATTCCTGCATAGAGACACAGTACACATGGACATTGTGTGTGTGCATACATGTGTGCACATACGTCCTTTTCCTGGTAAGATTCAGGTGACCCTGAGCCAGATGGAGAAAGCGCCTGGCCCAATCCGGGCCCTGCCCATTGTTCCCCCTTCCTCCTCCAGAGGTCACCGCCGCCTGGGTGCTGTGCCAGTTTGGCTGCCTGTGAGCATGTGTCTTATTCCTTCTGAAATGCAGGCTGTGAATTGTTTCTTTGATGTCAGCCATCAGAGTATGTCTCAGTTCTGGTAGGGGATGGTAACCCATGAGACGCCCCAGGCCCCATACAGGACTACCAGAACACGTGTGCCAGGTGGGGGCCGAGGTACCGGAGTCGAGCACAGGGCCTGTCCTGGCTGCGTCTCCATAAAATCCCCCTCTGGCCCCAGGTGCAGCACCTGTGCAGGTCCGGGGCGCCCTCTGCAGCCACAGCCTCTACCCCCACACCACCACACACAGGACCAGCCCAGCTTCCACATGAAACCAGACAGACCCGGGAGGGAGGAGGGGTGTGTGTGTGGCTCACAGACAGTGTGGGAGACATCAGGGCCCTGATGTCTTGAACAAATCCCTGTGTGAAGTGCTGAGGCTCCTGTGAGCGCCTCTTGGCAGCTCTACCTCAGAAGAAGTGGTCTGTGTACTCTCTTAGCATCTGGTCGATCTGTGCAGAGCTGGTTTCACGGCGCCCAGAGGCAATGACGAGACCCTGAACTCAGGGCTGCCCAGCCTTAGCCAGTCCCAGGCTTCCCGGCCCCGCTGTTACCGGACACTGGTTAAACCTTCCCCAGCCACAGGACACAGCTGAGAAACGGGACACAAGTGGCCAGCTGTCTCCCTAATAATTTATAGGTTTTCAATTAAGACGTGGCGATGCACCGTGCTTCCCAGGCTCCCTGGGGAGGCAGCCCGCCTGGCTCCCCTTCCCAAGGGGTTTCCGCAGACACCTCGTGCACTGTCAGAGCCGGGCTCCTCCTGGGTGCAGTGCCATCGCGTCCCATCACGTGTAGGAAGAGCTACCTCGTCTGCGCCACATCTGGTGCCCACGGTGAGGGCCCGCTCAGCAGCCAGACTGCAGGGAGGTGGACACACAGGTTGTTTGCTCTAGTCCACCTGCAGTGGGGTGTCCAGGATGGAGATTTCCAAAGTGGAAGGCAGAACCTTTAGAGTAAGAGCCCCAAGAAAAGCCACAGGGACAGCTGCAATTGCCGTTCTCACTTAGAACTGTGGAAGTGAACCGATGGCATACAACTGAAGCTTTTTTTTCTCTAAGAGAAAACACTGAATCTCAGAACAGCAGGGCCTATGGTATTTGACCCAGGGCTGTTCCCTGTCCACCCGCCCATGACGCCGGCCTTCTGTGCCTGAGGCCAGCAGCAGCTTGATTGCAGAGCGCGAGCTGTGCTGGGCCTCAGTGGTCCCTGGGGGTGTGGACGGGTGTCTGTCTTTGAAGCAGTCGCTAAGTCGCTTTCTCAGCTTTGCCCCCGTCCCGGCTGGGTGGGGGGCTGCTGTCCCTCTGCCCCTCCATGTCTAGTGAATGTGGCTTCCTTGTCACTGTGACCATCAGCACGTCCCCCTTTCTCCCTGAATGCTGTGTTGGTTGCTCCCCTATTTATGTCTCTTGTCCCCCAGCTTTTGGGCAGTTTTGGTGCTACCCTCACGGAGTGGGGGGGGGGCGCTATCCTCTGTGGGGAAATGAGCAGAACTGAGTTGCTGGGAAGATGCGGCATGCAGGGGAAGTGACAAGGAAGCGTCCGTCCACTTCCTGCCATAGGATAAACAGGAGGCTGGACAGAGCTAGGGGCCGGCTCACATGGGTCCCCTTTCCCCAGAAGCAGCCAGTGGAGCCCAGGGCCTCAGCACAGCCTGGGAATTGTCTTGCTATGAAAGGCTCAACAAAAGGCTCCTGCTGATTTCTGGGAGGGGGAGTGAGGGGGACAAGGCTGGGAGTGGGAAATGACTGGGCCCTGAGTCCAAGGGCTGGGGGAGAGGGGGAGGCATGGAACATGCCTCAGGCTCTGGCTGAGGCCGCTTCTGCAGAGGAGCCTCAGCAAGGCCTGGGCTGGCAGTGCCGCTGGTGCAGGGGGTGGGAGGGGTCTTTGCAGCCTTACAGGGAGTTGGGTCTGGCTCCGCAGGTGGTGGCCCTGACCTCAGCTGCTCCTCCCCTGCAGGTGAACGTGGGCATTCTCGTCGCCGTCACCAGAGTTATCTCCCAGATCAGCGCGGACAACTACAAGATACACGGGGACCCCAGTGCCTTCAAGTAAGTCCAATGAGCTGCCCCGTGCAGCTCTTGGAGGCTGCTGGAGGGTCAGTGAGCCATCTCCTGCCATTACCAACCCATCGCCCATGTCCTTGTGAGGTCACAGGCAGCCCTGGCTTCTCAGCCTCGCTTGGTGGCTCATTCATCCCAGGGACCCCGGGGGCAAGCCCTGACACAGTGTGGCCCCTGTGAGGGAGGGCTCTGCAGGTGTCCAGAATGGCCGTGCGGAGGGGAGAGGGGGGGCTCTGCAGGTGTCCAGGATGGCCGTGTGGAGGGGAGAGGGAGGGCTCTGCAGGTGTCCAGAATGGCCGTGCGGAGGGGAGAGGGAGGGCTCTGCAGGTGTCCAGGATGGCCGTGTGGAGGGGAGAGGGAGGGCAGGTGTCCAGGATGGCCGTGTGGAGGGGAGAGGGAGGGCTCTGCAGGTGTCCAAGATGGCCGTGTGGAGGGGAGAGGGAGGGCAGGTGTCCAGGATGGCCGTGTGGAGGGGAGAGGGAGGGCAGGTGTCCAGGATGGCCGTGCGGAGGGGAGAGGGAGGGCTCTGCAGGTGTCCAGGATGGCCGTATGGAGGGGAGAGGGAGGGCAGGTGTCCAGGATGGCCGTGCGGAGGGGAGAGGGAGGGCTCTGCTGGTGTCCAGGGATGGCCGTCCAGAGGGGCGCAGAAGGGAGAGGGACACTCAGCAGATTCACACCTTGGGGGGATCCAGTACTCCAGGCTCCTGGCTCTCAGCCCAGAAGGGGAATAGCACCTGTTGGTGGCACTGCTGCGTGAACGGGGCTCCACAGAACACAGCCTCCTGGCATGGAAGATTAGAGCCTGCTGATGGCTTAGACCACCTTAAGGTCCCCAGCCTGGACCTGGGCTCTGCAGCTCCAGGATGGTGACCCCCTTTACCACTTTGTCCTCCACATCAGCTTCCAGACTCACCCTGCGCTCTGGAGCGGGACAGCTGTGCCTGGCATTCTGTGCACAAGGAAGCCTGCCTCCCAGGAACAGTGGGGTGGGATTCACCCTGGGCCCAGGCCTCAGGGCCCTCCCCCAACCTGGGGCGCCCTGCACAGCGGGCTGGCAGGGCAAGGCAGCCCCTTGCGGTTAGTGTGGACGCTCTAGAGAGGCGTAGACACGGCTGCTGACACTGTAAGTCACTGTAGCTACAGTCTATCTTTTCTGATCTGAAAGTAAAAGAGACAAACAGCCCAACAGCAAATCAATGAGGTAATTATTCTGTAAGGAATCCAAACACTGTAAATTAACCTGACAAGTAGCTGTGGCCCTTTGGGGCTTTCCAACCCAGGGACTTTCAAGGCTGAGCCCTGGGAGGAGTGCTCAGAGGGGCCAGAGTAATTTCCTTTTTTCACCTGGAGCTCTGCCCCAGGCCTGCGTGCCACCCAGCTCAGCTTGGGCACGAAGGCCCTGCCCGCCTCCCCCTCCCCCTCCCCTCAGCTCCTGAGGTCCCTGGGTATTCAAGGCCAGCCAGTGTCTGTCTGAAGTCTGTCTCCAGCAGACATTATCATGCTATCCAGGTTCAGCACTTGCAGGACCACGGCCTTCACTGCCCCACCACATGCCACCCCCATTCCTCCACTGCCCTGCCCTTCGCTGCTCTCCAAGACCCTCTGAAGAGGCAGCCTCCTTCACACCCACCTGTTTCCACGGAAAGCGTTGTGTGAGGGCTGCTGTGAGAAATTCCCTGGGAGCCAGGTGCCACTACGGTGCCCTCATACCGCCACACCCTCGTACCACCATGGCACCTTCTTCCTACCACCACATCCTCCCCACCACCACGGTGCCCTCACCACCACCATGCCCTCACACCACCACCACACCCTCACACCACCGCCACACCCTCACACCACCACCACCACACCCTCACACCACCACCACACCCTCACACCACCACCACACCCTCACACCACCACCACCACACCCTCACACCACCACCACCACACCCTCACACCACCACCACACCCTCACACCACCACCACCACACCCTCACACCACCACCACACCCTCACACCACCACCACACCCTCACACCACCACCACACCCTCAGACCACCACCACACCCTCACACCACCACCACCACACCCTCACACCACCACCACACCCTCACACCACCACCACCACACCCTCACACCACCACCACACCCTCACACCACCACCACCACACCCTCACACCACCACCACACCCTCACACCACCACCACACCCTCACACCACCACCACCACCACACCCTCACACCACCACCACCACACCCTCACACCACCACCACACCCTCACACCACCACCACCACACCCTCACACCACCACCACCACACCCTCACACCACCACCACCACACCCTCACACCACCACCACCACACCCTCACACCACCACCACACCCTCACACCACCACCACACCCTCACACCACCACCACACCCTCACACCACCACCACACCCTCACACCACCACCACCACACCCTCACACCACCACCACACCCTCACACCACCACCATACCCTCACCCCACCACCACCACACCCTCACACCACCACCACACCCTCACACCACCACCACACCCTCAGACCACCACCACACCCTCACACCACCACCACACCCTCACACCACCACCACACCCTCACACCACCACCACCACACCCTCACACCACCACCACACCCTCACACCACCACCATACCCTCACACCACCACCACACCCTCACACCACCACCACCATACCCTCACACCACCACCACACCCTCACACCACCACCACCACACCCTCACACCACCACCACCATACCCTCACACCACCACCACCACACCCTCACACCACCACCACACCCTCACACCACCACCACCACACCCTCACACCACCACCACACCCTCACACCACCACCATACCCTCACACCACCACCCCACACCCTCACACCACCACCACCATACCCTCACACCACCACCACACCCTCACACCACCACCACCACACCCTCACACCACCACCACCATACCCTCACACCACCACCACCACACCCTCACACCACCACCACACCCTCACACCACCACCACCACACCCTCACACCACCACCACACCCTCACACCACCACCACACCCTCACACCACCACCACCACCACACCCTCACACCACCACCACACCCTCACACCACCACCACCACACCCTCACACCACCACCACACCCTCACACCACCACCACACCCTCACACCACCACCACCACCACACCCTCACACCACCACCACCACACCCTCACACCATCACCACACCCTCACACCACCACCACACCCTCACACCACCACCACACCCTCACACCACCACCACACCCTCACACCACCACCACCACACCCTCACACCACCACCACACCCTCACACCACCACCACACCCTCACACCACCACCACACCCTCACACCACCACCACACCCTCACACCACCACCACCACCACACCCTCACACCACCACCACACCCTCACACCACCACCACCACACCCTCACACCACCACCACACCCTCACACCACCACCACACCCTCACACCACCACCACCACCACACCCTCACACCACCACCACCACACCCTCACACCACCACCACCACACCCTCACACCACCACCACACCCTCACACCACCACCACACCCTCACACCACCACCACCACCACACCACCACCACACCCTCACACCACCACCACCACACCCTCACACCACCACCACACCCTCACACCACCACCACACCCTCACACCACCACCACCACACCCTCACACCACCACCACACCCTCACACCACCACCACACCCTCACACCACCACCACACCCTCACACCACCACCACACCCTCACACCACCACCACACCCTCACACCACCACCACCACACCCTCACACCACCACCACACCCTCACACCACCACCACCACACCCTCACACCACCACCACACCCTCACACCACCACCACACCCTCACACCACCACCACCACACCCTCACACCACCACCACACCCTCACACCACCACCACACCCTCACACCACCACCACCACACCCTCACACCACCACCACACCCTCACACCACCACCACCACACCCTCACACCACCACCACACCCTCACACCCACCACCACACCCTCACACCACCACCACCACACCCTCACACCACCACCACACCCTCACACCACCACCACACCCTCACCCCACCACCACACCCTCACACCACCACCACCACACCCTCACACCACCACCACCACACCCTCACACCACCACCACACCCTCACACCACCACCACACCCTCACACCACCACCACACCCTCACACCACCACCACACCCTCACACCACCACCACCACACCCTCACACCACCACCACACTCTCACACCACCACCACACCCTCACACCACCACCACACCCTCACACCACCACCACACCCTCACACCACCACCACACCCTCACACCACCACCACACCCTCACACCACCACCACACCCTCACACCACCACCACCACACCACCACCACACCACCACCACCACACCCTCACACCACCACCACACCCTCACACCACCACCACACCCTCACACCACCACCACACCCTCACACCACCACCACACCCTCACACCACCACCACACCCTCACACCACCACCACACCCTCACACCACCACCACCACACCCTCACCCCACCACCACACCCTCACACCACCACCACACCCTCACACCACCACCACCACACCCTCACACCACCACCACACCCTCACACCACCACCACCACACCCTCACACCACCACCACACCCTCACACCACCACCACACCCTCACACCACCACCACACCCTCACACCACCACCACACCCTCACACCACCACCACCACACCCTCACACCACCACCACACCCTCACACCACCACCACACCCTCACACCACCACCACACCCTCACACCACCACCACACCCTCACACCACCACCACACCCTCACACCACCACCACACCCTCACACCACCACCACCACACCCTCACACCACCACCACACCCTCACACCACCACCA